TTGAAATTTATGTAAGGCTGTTATAATAGATCGTTATAATGTTCCTTGGCCTTGGCGTTATAAGCGATTTGGATTGTATTTTTTAAACCTTCACAACAAGATGGAGTTTTCAAACCATTTGTAAATCCTTAATAATATCCGGAATGACCATTTCACCATGCCAATTTAACCATTTTCGTGTCATAGAGCAAAGCAACATGGGTTTTTAATCTGATATTAAAATTGGGCTTATAGGTCCACACTTTCTAATACCTCCTCCACAAATGTTCTACATTTGGAAAGTTTGTAAATCTTGTATGAAGCGAACGAAATATCCAATTTCATCCAAACTTGATACATCGTAATATAATATTTTTTTACCAAAGCTAGATCAAGTCCGGAGATGCGGTACAGTACACTTGCTACCTCTTCAGTACACCTACCCCACATAATGTTAAAATTTTTATACCCTACACAACTATGTTGTCAGGGTATTATAGCTTTGTGCAGCTCCAAAAGTTTGTAACGCCGCGAAATATTGGTCCTAGAAAAGTATACCGAGTTAAAGCTGAGAGTCACTGTGTGTCCGTCCGTCACTTGATGCTAATTTGTAAATAAATCAACAGTATATCTTCACGAAATTTTGCATGTAGGATTTTCTGGCCAATGAAGACCCCTATTGTTTTTGGAAAAGATCGGTTAGTATTTAGGGATGAAATGCACCAAAAACTTTATTTTTGTCGATTTTTCAGATAGGGCTTATGGTCCACACTTTTTGCATGGAGAAGGTGATCGGGTCAAAGAATAAGCATGCCTGTTTTGATAATGATCGGTCAATATTTAATTTTTGTGTGAAAAATTACAAAATTTGTATTCTATAGCGTAAATATTTACCACTGAAGGACCCGAGACCCATAGACCCGAGAAGTTGATAGTATATCCAAGAGAAGTAGTTAACCTTTAAATCGATACCAATTATATAGTCGTAGGTACTCGAATGCGGGAGTTACACTTAAATATTTACAGGTGCTTACGTATTCATACATTATTTAGTAACCTATTACCACACTGGACATAATGCTTTGAAATGTTTAATTTCATGGTCAAGGACAACGCCAAAAATGTTAGGTGATGATCAGATAATGATTTTTCGGATGAAGTGGACTTAATTATTTGTACTTTTCGTGTCGAACATCACAACACAACCCACGGTGAAGGAAATCTGGCATAATTAGATGTACTTAATTAGTAACATTTGCAGATTATGTCAAAAGTGTGCAACACATCGGTATTGCAACTTCATCAAGCATCATACCCACAATGTGTGATTTTCATGGAAGTTGTGTAGGGTATCGTATGGTCGGCCCCGTCCGACTATACTGCTCCGCTCACTAGTTTAATTTCGTAAATACTATATAATAACAATATTGAGCTGTTCCGGAAGGATGCACTTTAGCCTCAGAGAATCCCAAATATCTTGGGATTCGAATAACCGATTTAATCCAAACTTTGCAGATTATGTTAGAAGTTGTCATACATCGGTCAACTTCATTAAGCATCATACCCACAATGTGTGAATGTCACATGAAGCCTATGGAGTATCTAATTTGATCCGTTAAATGTCCATCGTGATTTTTTTCAACAAACTTAGATCAAGCCCTATAATTGTACCCTGATATCTTCTTCACAAAAGGAAAACCCTTTGAAAACTTGTAAATTTCACACTCAAGATATCCGATTGAAGTATTCGATTATGTAAAATCGAATGGTGAAGCTTGTATGTTCTAAACTCTGCTGACCTTAATATTTACGCCAACCAAAGATTGGTCCATTATTTCTAGTACTTTCCCCATCGAAGTCTGAATTGGTGTTTATTACATACGATATCTGAGGCTTTTCTTGTTTTGCAAAGAGGAAACAGTAAGCGGGCGTCAAGTCCGGAACGGACAACAATTCATACAAAAGTGTTGACGTGTGCGGAGATGAGTTAACATGACGGAAAATCCATGATAGGGGTTTCCACAGTTCTGTGCGTTTCAGACAAAATGCTTCGAACAATCATCTGCAACCTCTCTGATAGTGAATCGACAAAATTATACAAAATAATTTTTTCACCGCTTTAATGTTTTCAACGGTTGTTGCACTTTTCTGTGAGGTACTTTTTACCCACAAAGATCCCTGATTGCCAAAATATAACCTCTTCGGTCGGAAAATGAGACTCATATCTTGAAGGGTATACTATATGCCATGGTATAATAATAGAAGGTAACAGCAATATTTACAACAAACGCCACTTTAAATTTGTTTTTGCAAGTTTGACATTTTTAGACAGAAACGTATTCAAACTAATAAATTATATTTATTTTGAAAATAAAATATTGCGTTGTGTTATCGAAAATACATTTTGACAACCACAAGGAAAATCGATCAAATTCAATTTCTACGCTTCCACAACTTTCCTATAATTGTGCGCTGCGCTTATATGTGTAACATATATTTTAATTTTTGCGAATGCGTTATTCAATGGACAGGGATTTCTGTTTAGACCTTTACGGTTTGACGTACGACCATGTGTTGTGTTCTTTATAGACACAAAATGGAATTAGCAATTCAATATTTCTTCTGGTACTTTAATATTTCTTCCACCAGCTTATATTTGATAAGTCGCTTAATACCGCAAGATTTAATAATCTTTCAGAAGGGCTCTTGCCGATTAGTGATGTTAAATTAGAAAATTACGATCGGTTTGCTTCGAAAGATGACATACCATATGCCACAATCATTGGTGGCATTTCATGTATATATCCTAATCAGTCCGAGCACGGTATGTGACAGCTTTTCTAATGGCTGAGTAACAAAGGGGCGGTAAATATGTTTGCCTAAAGTCTTTTAAATTTATTTCATAAATTAATTTGTAAAAATAATTTTCTAACTGCTAGGGTGTACGGTAGCCGAAAAATACGGTAGCCATATTTTTGGTCGGCATTAAAGTCAGAAGTTATGTTTAATTTTAAATTTGTTTTTATATATATTTTGCTATTATTTAAAATAAAAATTTGAGCTTCTTCTTGGTTTGAAAGAAATATTCTATTTTATTTAAGGGAACCCCCCATTGTCAATTTTTTATTTTTAAGACTTTAAATGGGCTGGTAAATGAATACCAATGCTTGTTAAGATTTGTAAATTTGCACATATCGAAGCCTCCGAACCATAGTATGGTAAGTCGACTTAGCATGTTTTAAAGTTCTTTACGTTTTTATTCTCTGAAATTTTTAGACTTAGCATACTATGGTTCGGAGGCGTCGATATATATTTGAAGTTTTAAAAATGAAGAAAAAAATTTTACAAAAAATTTTTGTTGTTTTTTAGTGATCAAAGAAAAGTCCCTATTTTTTATGGCGGACATGATAACTCCTCACTGGAACATCGGAATCCGAAAATTCTAACGGTGTTAGAAAGAGTACATGTCTGGCTCTCGTATAAACTAGGATTATTGACTTCGCACAATAATTAACAAAATGGATGAAATTTGAAAACCGTTTTTTTTGGAAATTTGCCTATTTTTTACCACAAACGACGTTAAAAAATAAGTAAGATCTTCACCGATTGTTCATACGATAGCTATACGCTCGCAGAGAAACGTCCCAAAATTTGATATCGATTGGTTTATTGGTTTTTGAGTTATCGTGCCCGCCATTCGCAAAAACGCTGTTTGGAGAAAAACGCGTGTAAAGTTTGAGAAGTCCTCTTGCTGTCACTTGATGCTAACACAACAAATCGGCTATATCTTCAAATAATGTTGAGATTTTCACTTGAAAATTTATAGGGACATTCTTGAATTAGTGTAGAGGTTCGAATTAAATCAACACACAACATTAAATTATTAAATGAGAAAAGCAGTTAAATAACTACCACTGCTGTTTCTCTCTATCTCACCCAATGCACACATACTTATTAACGACACCTGTACATAAATATGTAATTTTTGTAAGTAATGCACTCGAAATTAATTACCTCCGAAGAGTAACTTGAGTAAAATGAGAGAAGATAGCGGCCGGAGAGTTCACACACATTTGAGCTGTGCTCATTCACTTTTGTACCTAAGTGTGGCCGCTACACTTCTGTTTTGTTGTTACTCAGGCCTCCTCCTTCTCCTCACTAGAAGAAACAATTTCAAGAGCAGCATTTTGTTGTTGTTGTTGGAAACTCTTGTACATGTGTGTATGCGTTTGAGTGGTCGATTGTGTACTACGTGCCTCACTGCTCACCGTGTCTATATATTGACTGTTAGCTCCAAACATGATCAGTACTGTTTTAGTCACGACTAGCAGAACACCTTCTCTTCTTTTAGAGCGCTCAACCAACTAAACCTCAACATTGTTCGTCGTGTTTAACGAAGTGCGGTTAGCTTACATACGATTCTGACAAAAAAAAATTCTTACGGAAGACAACATTTAATTCACATCAAGAGTGTAAAACTTCTTGTGCGTACAAACAAGGCGATCGATCAGTTGATCGTTTTGCAAGCGAGCCAATAAAACTCCATTGAAAACCATAAATTAAACGAAAAGAACTGTAAATCGTTGTGTCTTTGTAATGTCTGTTAACTGGTTTAAATTGTGTCATTTTGAGGCTAAGAAGCAGACATCTGTTCAACATAAATTATTGAAAATCATTATCAAATTGAACATTACAATGTTTTGAAGAGACTTTGTGGAGAATTATTTTCACCAAAGAAATAAAATAAAACTGTTCTCAAAGAAGACAACAACAAATACAACATTTTACTAAATTGAAAATTTAGTAAAATCGAAAAAAAAAACACCAACAAAATTACAACAAAACGCTAGTGTGTAAAAAATACTTTTCTTGCTCAAAAAAATATAGAACGCTTTTGTGAAATATAACAAAATAATTACCCAGCTGTGTGATCCTATTTGGATTGACTTTTTTATTACAATTCCTTCGAAAATTCCCCAACAATTTCGAGGCTTTACAATTGCTACTAAAACGTTGTCATTGTGAGACACGCCGCAGCCGCCATTAAACGCAAGGAGAACAAAATCGCCAAAATTCCGCCCTCATTGAAAATAAACTTTTCCAAAACGGATACCCTCAGAGGACGACATATGTCAGTGCAAAACTATTTATTGTTGATATTCAATCAGAACGCCAACGCTCTGTCGAGGTCACCGCATAATTTAGAATTACTGAACTCTTTTATAACGTAACAGTGAAAGTTTTCTAAGGAAACTAACAACAACATCGCCGAAAAAAAAGAAAGAACACGCGACAAGGTTGTCGCCAGCCTCCATCACGCACCCCCAGCCTTTGCCCAAACAGCAGTAGCAATTTATCAAAATATCACCAATATCAGATACTACCACCCTGCCACATCAACGTCAAAAATTCTATACCAAAAGAAAACGAAAGAGGAGACGACGAGATAGTACAACCAACAACAAAATATTGAGGCTGAATTGAAGTAAATAAAAGTGAATTGTAATCACATTACAAGAGAGAGTGAAAGAAAGAAAACGTCAAAGTTACCCAACAAAAATTATTTAACTGGATATTTAGAAAAAAAAATTGACAAGTATCATCCATCGATTGCCACAAAATTAAAGAAAACTAATTTAAATAGAAAAGAGTGTTCAAGTGTCGAAACCCAAACTCAAATCTCAATTACAAAAAGTTTTTGTAAAAATTTTCCATCATTCATAATCAACGAAGAAAACGACGAAGAAAGAAAATTAAAGTAAGTACATGGGAATACTAGAAAATAGTGTAACAAATTTGTTGTTAGACACAAAAGTATTTGGAAAAATCCTAAAATGTATTCTTACACTTCTTAAAAAAATTTCGAAATTGTTTAAAATATTGTTTTCAGAACGACATTACACACATACATTTGTTAAAATGCAATGGTTTAAGATAATCGATATCCATAAAATACAATAATATGTCTGTTCCCGAATCTGCAGAATGTCCATCATGTCAATACGATAATTGGTTTGCCTTTGTAAAATTAGTAGATTCTTGAAGTATAGATACACAATTTTTAAAAAGTTTATTGATATTTTAAGAAAATAAAAAAAAAAAAATAAAGATTTGATAGATTTTTTTTAATGTACAAATTTCAAGTTGAACAATTTAAACATTGACAGAACGTATTTTTTTTTTTTTTTCTTTTGTTGAAAATAAAAACAAAACATTCAGAAAAAATGAAATTTCGAATGAGAACATAAAATATTTGGATTAATTTACTAAATTTTCAATTTTGTTTGGCGGTTTGTATTATTCGCTTGAAGATATGGATTCGACGTATTTGGGTAATACGGCCGTACACAACATTTTTTCAAAAGTGGGGAAGTTGAATTTTTCTGTACGCCCCGTCGGATTATAGGTAACGTTGTAACAGCCTTACCTAAAATTCAACCATCTCGTTCGACGTTTTTCACCCCATGAATGAATGTTACCGAAATACGTTGAACGTACAAAATTTCAAGTTGAACAATTTCAACTTTGACAGAACGTATTTTTAATTTTTTTTTTGTTGAAAACAAAAATAAAACTTTGTGGACATTTGAAATTTCGAATGGAAACTAAAAATACGTGGATTAATTAAATACGTTTTCAATTTTGTTTGGCGGTTTGTATTATTCGCTTGAAGATATGGATTGGACGTATTTGGGTAATACGGCCGTACACAACATTTTGCCATAGTGGGGAAGTTCAATATTTTTGTACGCCCCTTCGGATTTTAGGTAACGTTGTAACAGAATTTTCTATAGAATTTGTAACAGAATTTGATAAAAAAAATTACAGCGTTCCATTATAATTCGATTAAATACTTTAATTTTTTTCAAATAAAATTCAGATCAATTTAGGTTTATTCATAAGGTTAACAGGGAGGCGAATTCATGCCTTAGGCGAATTCATGCCAACTTTTGTAAACAACTCTGCAGAGTACTTTAGAGAGAGAGAGAGGGGGGTATGAAAAGTTATAAATTTTATAAAATTCAAAAGAGAATTGTAAAGATCAGCATCGGAGTGGCTTGAAAAAGTTGCACGTGTAAGCGTCTGAGGCAAACATTTTCTTCTATGTTTGTATAATGTTAGAATAAACGATGATATCTTCAACACCATTGTATCTCGAAAGCAAATCCTTGAATACATAAATGTCCTTCCAAAAGAACCCATTGTGGTCGTTCATATTTGTGTAAGGGTTTCTGTTTTCTGGTTAAAATTTCAATCGATTTATTTTTTGGTTTCTAATATTTTCTATATATTGTGAAATAAGATTGAAAATCGTGTCACGAGGTTCGCTATTTTTAGTTGGATTTTTTTTTTGTTTCGTCTTTGGTGTCTTGCAGACAATCATAAATTATATGGCATGACGTGATATACATACATATATTTGTTAACATAATGATTTAAAAACGGAATGATGTTCAACCAAGAAATTCCGACATATGAACAATGAAATAAGCTATATACATACATATATTTCGTTTATATGGATTAAAAAGTTCATTCAAATATACATAATTAATGTACATATGTATGAATTTCACCATTTAATTTGAACCCTTTTTGTGTCGCTTGGCCTTTGTTGTAAAATATTCCGTCTCGTCTCGTTCGTGCTATCGTCGTCTGATGCAATCTTATTTAAATATTTCTATTCTATTATAATGATTGGTCAGTTTGGTTTATAATTATATTATATATTTTAAATACACTGAAGTATAAAATCAATCAATCAATAGTTTTTAAGAAAATTGTTCGAGAATTGAATTTAGGTTTCAGTAGTGTATTCCTATTAAAGTTCCGCAACGAACTAGTTCAAAAAACTATTCAATTCAAATTGAATGATCGGTAATAGTTCCAGTTCTTTTGTTCATCTTGTTCGTATTGTGTGAAGGAGAGAGAACATAGTCCATTTGAATTCGTTTTCATCAATTTTGTCTTCTAGATCTTTGCATAACTTATCAGGGCTTTTCCAATTTTTAATATAACAATTAGTTTATTTCCATTTCAACAAAAAGATCGATCTGTGCCAGTTTCGTTTTTTTTTTTTGTTCATCTAGTTATTTTTCATCCAATCGTTCATCTAGAACTTGGGAATAATTATGAGCGTTTTTCTAACTACTATCAACAGTAGTTCCGGTTCTTTTGTTCATCTAGTTCCTTCTTCAGCGGCAATTCATTTTTCCTTCTCCTTCGATTAATACGTTTTCATTCAATCGTTTATCCAGAACTCCGAATACATTATCAGGGTTTTTTCTTACTGTCATATATCAATTAATTTATTTTCTTTTCTTCATAACAACGATCGGTCGGCAATAGTGCCGCTTTTTTGTTCAACTGGTTCATTTTCTGCGTCCATCTAAATCTTCGAATAAATTATAAGGGTGTTTTTTACTACAATTGTATCACAATTAATTTATTTTCAACATAGTTCCGCTATGTTTGTTCAGCTAGTTCCTATTTCTTTGCCACTAGTTCAATTTGTCTCTTCTTCACTTTATACGTTTTCATACAATTGTTATTCTACAACTTCGAATACATTACTTGGGTTCTTCTAACTTCTATCATATATCAATTAATATTATTTTCATTTCTTCAAAAGGATCGATCGGTAATAGTTCCGGTTCTTTTGTTCTTCTAGTTCATTTACCTCTCCGTCATCTAATTTATTTTCATCCAATCGTACAAAACTAGAACTTGGGATGTGTTTCTATCTACAATCATACCGGTAATAGTTCCGGTTCATTCGTTCATTTTTTTTCGGTAATTATTTTTTATGCCCTCGTTCACCTAATTTGTTGTCATACAATCGTTCATCTAGATCAGCGCTTTTCCAAATTTAAAGAATTCTAATTATTTTATTTTTGCTTCCTCAAAAATATCGATCGATAATATTTTGGGTAATTTCGTTCAACTAGTTCCTTTTTCTTTGCCAGCAGTTCGTTTGATTCTGCTCCGTTTTCATCCAATCGTCCATCTAGGTTTTCCGATAAATTATCAGAGTTTTTTTTTCTAACTGCTCATATATCAATTAATTTATTTTCAATTCATCAAAAAGAACAATGGGTAAAATAGTTTCGGTTCAATAGTTTCAATTTTCTGTAGTAGTTCATGTATGCTCCCCTCCACCTAACGCATTTTCATTCGAACATAATCATCTAGATCTAACTACCATCAGATATCAAATAATATTTTTTTTTTCAAATTTTCTTTTATTGAAAATTTCGACAAATTATGCTTTACACTGTATGATTATGACCTGTATTATAGTTGCTGCTTTGTCATTGGTGAATCAAGGGAAAAGTTTTTTGCGATTATGTAGTTTTTTTTTTTGTTTGTTTGCTCTTCGGTGTAGTGGTGGCGTATCGTGCGGTGTGAGAGCATGGAATCACCACTTACACACACAAGAAATAGCAACGAATTTCATGAATGAACCTCGTTCCCATGCTCCCATCATAGATAGTAGATACCTGGCGTAATTGGTGGATCGGACAATACGTCAGCACTGAAATTAGTATAAGGTGACTTACTATAAAAGATAAACCCCCTTACCCCCTGCGAACAGCTATCCGCATTTGTTTGCTCTATCACACTAGAGATTCTAGCAGATAGAAAGAGGGCTCGACAGTCATACTATTGAGGTATGCACGTATTTGTGGACTCGTATGTTGGCTGATACACACAACTCATTCATTCAAACATGTGTGTGATTATCGATCGTATCATCAATTCTTTCGCTGCTTGGTGTCTTTGTTGCTTTTGCTATTCTTTGCCGGGCTATTAAAGATAAATTATTGATGCGATATTGGTGAACTAGTTTGCCATAGCTGGCGGTTACATCAATGAATGCTTAACTCTGGCGATCAGACAGAGATTTGTTGGTCGCTCGATCGCTTCCAACGAAGTAAAGGGGAGGCGATTCAATACCGGAAATTATAATTCATTCATCATTGTGTTACTAAGACAGCTATGAATAATTCTTACGTCCAATTTTTTCTTTGTATTTCGTTTTTTTGAACGTCTGGGATTTTGTGTTTCTGTTGGGATTCTTGCTGTGAATTGTTTCAAGAAATTTAGTGTTTGTTGCCAAGAACATTGTCATGATGGACATGATACCACATAGAAAATCGCAAAGCGAAATCTCACTACTATGTCTGATTGATAAATTTTGTGGTTTTTTATTTTATTTTATTCTATTTTTTTGGTTGTCAAATAACGAGGAAAGCTAAATACATATGAAACGCCATGCTATTTCACTTCAGAACTTGCCTTTATATAGGCAAAAAATCGAAAAAAGTCGTGAGTGTGTTTCATTTAGTCAAGTTGGCAACGTCACGCCGTATTGTTGATAAGGCAGCCATGTTCGCTAATTTAAAGGTAATAATTTCGATTTTTTTGTTGCAAAAATACAAGATAGAAAATGAAAATGTCAAGACCCTAGGCAATTATGATGCAGTAGCAGCAAGTGCTTATCTCTTATATATACATACCCATAACAAGGTTGATTGACCTTCAGTATATACATACATTGTCATGGACAAGATAATAATTTTTTTTATTTCCTTTCCATCTCTTTGCAGAAAATGAACTTACTACATCTTACGATACTGGCCCTGGTGGTCCTGTTGAGCAACAGCAGATGCGGCTCAGAGGCACGTGCCATTGACGATGTGGACAATTCCATTGAGACGGGTGTTGAGAAGTCATCGAAACAGCCATCACCACGCACCAGATTCGGTCAGGATTGGATTAAATTCACCAAAACTCCACCAGTCAAGATAATGCAGAATCCTGGCACACCCGTTGAGATTGTATGCGAAGTAATGGGCTCTCAAATACCCACCATACAATGGGTTGTCGGTCATGTGCCCCTATCAGAGGTGAGTTCGATAATAATAAAAATTCCTGTGTGCCGCTGAGTCATGGTCGACCCCTATGATTTCACCCCAACCCAATGAGGCATTCACAAAAAAAAAAAAACTAGAAACTTATCTCTAGAAAATACCTGATAGTTCATTTGAGGTTGTTATCAATTGGGTTGGAAGAAAGAATTTGAACGGCAACACTAAGTAGTAGTTCCTAAACGGAACAAATTATTCTAGATAACAAAGGAATTTTTTGTATTTTATGTGACATTTATTGATGACTTATTAGATTTATGACGGTGTGTTGAGGTTTCCTGTCAAAGGTAGTGTGAGGAATTCAAAAGAGAAACAACAAATGAGAATAAAAATAAATAAATAGTTGACAATTAAATAATCACATGAAGTGAGCTACCAGCTAAAAAAAGTGCATAGCCTTATCTCAAGAAAAAATATTAAAAAAATCAAGAAAGGTTCATAATCGGAATTTTATAGAAGGTCTTCTTTCTAGAGTAGTTCGAAAGAATGTCTTAATATAATAGACGAATTTCATGTGTACTTCTGCCCAAAACAGATTTATACCCATAAAAGAAATACGTCATATTTTATGTGAATATGGTGCATAAACTGTTTGTAATGTACTGATTAATGCATTTTATGAACGATATTCATAAAACTAAAAAAACTGATTATTTGTGACATATAATGAAAAAAACCGGTTTATTAAACGAACTGTTTTGGAAAGTAAATGAAAAACTAGAAAAAAGAATAGGAAAATAGTTTAAAAACTAAAAATATTTCATATATTTCGGCATTTTATGAAAACAATACATACCGGTTAAAGAGAGAATAAAAATAATACTTGAACTACGTTAAATGGGAACAAATTGTGATGAAATAAGAAAATACAAAATAGTTTTAAAAATAAATAAAAGTTTCTGCATTTTATGATCACAATACATAAAACAACAATCGTTGGATTGTTTTTGTAGATAATGAAAAAAACATTCAGAATATGGAATGAGGGTATAATAGATTGTGAAATAAGCATAAATAATCATAAAATAGGGCAATGAAAATAAATAAGAAAAATTATTCATATTTTTCTGTATTTTATGAACACAATTCATAAAACAATAAATAAATAAAATAAAAATTGTGATAAAATAAAAAATTATTAAAGAATAGTTTTAATATTAATAATAGTTTTTTCTGCACTTTATGAACATAATACATAAAACAATAACTACTGTTTTGTTTTTGAGATTTGGAAAGAGAGTAAAATATTGGCAATCTCTTTTAAGCGTAAATATTAATAAAATAGGGCATAATAGGAGAATAATTTGAAAACTAAACATAACTCAGATATTTCTGAATTTTATGAACACAAATCATAAAAAGAAAAAAATATATGGCGAATTCTCAGTTACTTTGAGAGAGAGAGAGAGAGAGAGAGAGAGAAAATACCCAAACAAAGAAGAGTTTTTTTGTTAGAAAAAAAATGAATTATGATTACCAAATTAACTTATGAATACCAAATTAAATTTAGTTTTCAAAAAAATTGTATAAAGTTTAGACATCTATAGAAGCTAAATTTTATATTCCCTAGTAATAATTTGTTTTCATGATTTTCTTCCATCTCCTTTCAGATCGATAGCATTGAATCGAATGTCATCTCAGAATCCAGTGCTAGTGCCATTGTTAAAGTGCGCTCCGTTCATGTCGTCGATCATATGTTAAGCGAGCCACGCATCTATACCTGTGTTGGACGTACCGGATCCAAAACGATTTTCGCTTCGACCACTGTCTATCCTCAACCGGAATTAAAAGACTTACTCCAGTTACGTGAAAAACAATTTATGGGCCCAACACGCCCACGAATTGTCTACAGCGAAAGAATGCATTTGGATTTGGTTGGTTCGAATATTGTTCTGCCATGTAAGGTGCATGCCCGCCCTCGCGCCGAAGTATTCTGGATGAATGAAGAGGGTAATCTAATTGAACAGAATCAACGTTTCAAATTATTGCCATCCGGTGATCTCTTGATATCGGACATTAAATGGGAAGATATGGGTGCCTACAAGTGTATAGCACGTAATGCCATGGGCAAAGATACGGCCGATGCGTTTATCTATCCAGTACAGGTAAGGGATATTTTTTAAAATTAAATTTTAAAATTTTACTTTGTTTATATTTTTATTTATTATATTTATTTACATTTTAAACAAATAATCATTAAAACTATTTTTTTATTTTTTTACAGAGAGATTCGGAAAATTAATTAACCTGACCTCGGCCATAATCGAAGACCATCGCATCAATCCCCCCAACTATCAAATGAAATTTAATGGAAATGATTTGGAGAAACCTTTGAACTCTTTATTATATATAGGCTGCTTATAGAAATTTGTATGCTGAATAATGAATAAGAAGACGAAGACGATGACAAACAATAAAAATAAGAAGAAGAATAAAAGGTTCCTCTATAGACATTTTGTAATGTTAATGGACCAAACTAAAGCCACTATCCTTTATCTATAAACTATTATTATTATTATTAGGAAAAAGAAAAACAACAACAATATTATGTAATTGTTAATTGTAAAACAAGAACAAGAATGGAATATACCCAACAAATTCTAGGCAGATGCAGGAAATCTTCTAGAATATCAAACAGAAAAAAATAAAAATAACAAAATTAAAGAAAAAAGAAAATATATATTTATAATAATGTTAAACCAAATATCATTGAAAAAAGAATATGTTTAAACTTTTCAAAGGGTTCATTGTTAAGAAGCTATAAAATATAAATGTTTTTTTATAGGATAACAGTTGAAAAGCTTAAATGGCCAATATATCTTCGTTTAAGTTTTGGAGTGTATTGTATTTTAAGAAGAAATATAATTTTCCTTTTTTCTCTATTTTCTTTTTTCATACACGTATCGAATTAAATTACAGTTCTACAAAAACCACAACAACAATAGTTATTTATTTATGTACTTAATTTATTTTTATATTAAAAACAATCAATGAGAACTTTTTTTAATTATTTTTTTTTTTCTCTCCATTACTACTACTACACAAACAACAACAACTACCGCTATTATTACTATCATTTAGGAATTTTGTTATTTTATAATTATAATTTTAATTATATATATTTAATTTAATTTTATTGATGCATTTGTGAACTTATATCACCACCACCTCATTAATAAATAATAATAATAATACTAACTAATACAAACATTTAAATATTTAAATTATACATAACTTGTCTTATTATATTATGTATGTCATAGGAAAACAACAAAAACATATTCAGTCAGTTAGTAAATCGATCAGTCAGTCATAGCCACTTACATACCGATTTTTGTTTATTTTTCTTTAGTTTATATCTACAGAAACATTTGAAGTAATTTAAGATTTATTTTTGTATTAAACAAAAAAATATTTGTATTTGCTCATAAGAAAATAGTTAGGTTATCCGTTAATCTGAATTGTTTTTTTTTTAGTGTGCCGTACGTATTATGGTATAGGTTCATGTTTTATATTTTTTTCTTTTGCATGAACTGATGCGTTTATAGTTTTATTTTTTGTTTGGCTTCTTAAACCAAATGCCTAGATTCAATATAACAAATTCTAGCTGTAATCGTTCATGTGTAATAATTAAAAAATAAAAATAAAAATAAAAAACTATATGCAAAAAAATGATGTTGGAAAATAAAATCAAAGTTTAAAAATAAACATTTTCAATTGGATAATAAAAACAAATATTTGGTTTTTATTTAAGGGAACCCCACCCATTCTCGATTTTAAATTTTCAAGATTTTCAATGGGCTGGTAAATCAATACCAATGCTTGTTAAGGTTTGTAACTTTGCACATATATATTTGAAGATTTAAAAGAGATGAAAAATAATTTGCAAAAAATGTTTGTTATTGTTTTGTTGTTGTTTTTTGTAATTAAAGAAAAGTCCTTATTTTTGATGGTGGGCATGATAACTCCTCACTGGAACATCGGAATCCGAAAATTCCAACGGTGTTAGAAAGAGTACATGTCTGGCTCTCGAATGAACTAGGATTATTGACTTCGCTCTAAAATTAACAAAATGGCGGACCTTTGAAAAAATATTTTTGAAAAATCGTCGATTTTTGACCAAACACCAAGTTAAGAAATAAGGAAGATCTTTACCGATTGGCTTTATCCTAGTTCATACGATAGCTATACACTCACAGAAAAACATGTAAAAATTTGGAATCGATTGGGTTATTATTTTTTAACTTAGTTTGTTGTCAAAAATAGGCGATTCCCCTTAAGGAATAAAATTAACTGGAACGATCAGGTGGAAAAGGAAAAAAATCCAGCGACTTCTAAAACCAAGTTGATAAACGCGAAAGTGAGGCTTCATCGGAAGAGGCTTGTCGAACGGCAGACAACTTGTACCAGCATTTATTCCACGTATATATGACGTTATGAATAATCAGTGATTTCAGTTTTTCTGTGAGCTGGACTTTATATGGATGTTTGTGTAGATCTAATTGGGAATTTGCGTAAGACAGTTCTTATTCCTATGAACGACGAGGCGATCTTTTCTACGGAAGAAGTGAAACAATGATGCTCAGGGCTTATAATATTTGTAACCGTTCCCCATTCTCTTCTGAATTCTCTTTTGAATTCCCATGAACGATTTTTGCAAAATTTATAAAAATCGGTTAAGTTTTCGCTGAGTTATTTGCATTTGAATTCAACCATGTTCCGAAATGTACTTACTGTTCGATGCTGGGCTCCTGTTACCTGAAAATGGAAAACCACAGAAAATTTGATTTTTTTAAAACGTCAGGTCAATCAGAGTCTGTATATATATGGTCTGATCTTTATACCCTCAGCCTTATGGCCAATGAGGGTATATACACTTTCCTACGCAAAAATGTGCATCTATGGACCAAATTTGTTTCAGACCATTTTGAAGTGGATTTACAAATGTCCGTGCATCTGTCCGGCCGGATTTCATCCAAAAGTGGTGTCATATGAAATAAATAAATTCAAAAAATTAAATGTTATTGAATATGAAATTAGGTTTTGAAAGGGTTTTGGGGTTTCTACAATGGAGGTATTATTAGCCAGCACTGACAAACACTTGTCGTCAGCGCCATCTGTTGAATGGGAAGATCCAAAAATCGATTATGAAAAATTTAAATCGCATTTGATTTTCCAATAAATTTTGACCTTCTGTAGTTATTTAAATAAAATTGGGGTCATATAAAAGATAAACTTTCACACTTTCTTGTAAAATAACAAATATTTTGGAATATGAAATGTTTTTGGAATATCAAGTTTGTAATAATTTCCCTCAGTGATATTTGTGTTATTTTTTTTTTGCTGGCCGCAGTAAATTTGACTTTTTACTCTTTCATGTGTCACCATATTGATTTTCAACTTTTTCTGACTTCTGTAAAATCGACTAAAAATTTGATTTTTTATATGAATTATTGTGATAAGATAAAGTAAAGTTCCGGAAAGTGTAATTTTTGGGCAATTTGAGCTTTGTGATAAAAAAACGATGTATTTATGAAGAAAATCGAAAGTCGAACTTGAAAAGTCGACTTTACGATTTTCTCATAGATCAAAAGTCGACTTCGACTTTTAGACTTTTCAAGTTTAAGTTTATATTGGAACATCGTTACTTAATCGATTTGAATATTTTTTTAGAGAGAATTCTTTTTGTTCTATTATTTGTGTGCCATACCCCACACAAATAATAGAACACTCAAAAAGCCGACGACTTCACACTTAATGAATTTTGTAGAAAGTGGAAGATTTACCTGAAGGAGTAATAGTCTCCCATAGGAGACTATTTCAAAACATGGATCAATTATATTGAAATATTTCGTGAATTTGTTTTGAACCTACAGAATTTCAAATAGAAAAATAAATTGCAATTCAAAGAATAGGGGTAGGGAAATAACAAAAAATATATTACAGTTTTTAGGAAGGAAGGTACCAATACCAACCAGTAAGGAAAGTAGTAAAGTCGGACGGGGCCGACCAATACCCTTCACCACTATGGGTATATTAAACAGGACTATTAGCATGAAATTGGATGAAATAAAATATGTGATATTTATCTAAATGTGAATCTACCCAGATCTATCCATAAACATGTCATTCGTTTGTTACAATGGGACAAAAGTATGTAAATCGACTTCAAACAAATATCAATAGGTCATACTTAAAATAAGGCGAACATATATATGGAAGCTATATCCAAATATGAACCGATTTTCACGAAACTTGGCAGACATCAAGCTCAATTCAGTACGTTATGCACATTTCGTGCAAATCGAAAGAGGACTTTGGTGAACCATTTACATGAAATCGGACGAAACATTATATGGGAGCTATATCTAAATCTAAACCGATTTTCTCGAAACTTGGCAGACATCACTCTAGGCTGGATTCAGTACGCTATGCCAAATTTCGTTCAAATCGAAATATATATGAGGACTTTGGTGCACCATTTACATTAAATCGGACGAAAATATATATGGGAGCTATATCTAAATCTGGACCGATTTTCACGAAACATGGCGGACATCACTCTACGCTCAATTCAGTACGTTATGCCAAATTTCGTGCAAATCGAAAGATATGTAGGGACTTTGGACGAAAATATATATGGGAGCCAGGGACGTACGCAGGGGGGGAGAAAGCCCCCCCCCCCCCCCCCCCCCCCCCCCGAAATGAATTTTTTTCACAGTAAATTTATGTTTGCAACAGCGAATTTTTTCATTTTGTACTCTGCGAATTGTGTGAATATTTTGAACTTTTATTATTCTTTACATGAATAAGAGATACCAAACATTATTATTGCACTTTCAAAATTTGGCATATCCTTTATTTGCGAGGGATTTTTCTCGGTCACTCACGCGACATGTCTGGATTTGTATTCTTTCTTTGTATTTTTGCCTTTACTTACGTATTTAAGCACACTTAAAGAAACAAATTCTTCGACTTTGGTTTACCTATTTGCGGAAGTGCCCATATATAGTTCTATATTTTCTCTATAAAAGATACGGGCTGACTGACAACAAAATAATAACCGCATCATATATTTGTGACTTAGCATTGTTATTAAAAACTAAAAAAAACAAACACGTCTTGTTA